AATACCTCAGCACCCCATGTCCCCCTGCTCCTCTCAGTCCCCTCACACTCCATGTCCCCTGTCCCCCCCCCCAACAAGCTTCCAAGCCTGGGGTTCGCTGCCCACCAAGGGAGATAGCTACCTGTTTGGGGCTCAGGAGAGCAAGACCCCGGGGCAGGCTCATACATTCCAGCTTGGCCCCCCCAACCCAACTTCTATGCCCTCAGGACGCTCCTGGGGGTGGACATCAGCCTCATGGTCCCTGAGGTGGAGCTGGGCCTGGCCAGTTCCCTGGGGAGATGGGTGGGGAGCTCTCCCTCCCTACGCTGGAGACACAGAGAGGGGAAGAAAGTACTCCATGCACACTTTCCGGGGCGGGTGAGGCCGCCCACAAAGGCTGACTGCAGGTCCTTTGAGGCCGTGAACGACTGTCTGCCTGCTGCCCCTGCCTGGCGGTAACGCACCCTCCCGCTGGGACCATGGCCACGAGTAAACAGAGCCTTCATTTGTGGATGCCGCCAACAGCTGCAGGCCGGGGCGGGAGGGCCAGGTGCCCAGCACTCCCACGGCCCCTGCCCAGGCTTCCCTGCACTTCTGGCCCTTTCTGCCCTGCATCCCTCCTGGCCACAGACCTCCACTGGGCCCAGGCCACTGGGGCTGGCCCACCTCTCCACACTGTGGCAGGAACACCTTAGCCCAGGGTGGGGGTCTGCAGGGCCTCCCCCAACCAGCCCTGTGCAGCAGCAGGCACCGTGTTCCTTGGGCTCACACCCGAGGGCCGCAGGGAGACTTCTGCGGTCTTGTTCTCAGTGTCCATCTCCCTGAGGCCACGGGAGGGTCAAGATGGACAACCTGGTGTCTCGGAGCTTTGGGGCTCACACCTGGGCAGAATGTGGGCATCTCAGGCCACACGGCTTGGGGTAGGGGGGTGAGCAGAGAAGGCTTTGACAAACACGTCACTGACTCACTAGGGAAAACATCCGAGCTTCTCCCTTTCTCACCTGATCGGTTTGTGGGTTTATGACTGCTGCAGAGCCTGGGCCTTGCCGGCAGCTGCTTGGGCAGCTGAGCTACTTTGCAGGGCACAGTGAGGAAACCAGGATGCCTGTGCCCAGGCCGAGCGGGGAAGGCCTGCGGGCCACAGCAGCTGGGCCCACCTCCCTGCACAGGTATGTGGGGGAGGGCGCGGGCTCTCCAAGGCCCGGCTGCACGGACCGGCGCTCGGACGTGCTGACTCACCGTCCGGGCCAGGACTGCAACCCGGGAGCGGCGCAGCCGCAGACCGCTCTCCAGGGGATGAAATTGCTAATGCCAGCACGCTGCTTGTCCCCACAGTCTCATCGACAGATTCCGCTGGGACGTTGCATCCCATCATATGTTTTAAGACCGCGTGTGTGCCCTAATGCCGCAGTGTGGAGCACTGTGCGGTGTCAGCTGAAGAGCTGCCTTGTTTACAGGGAGGAATAGGCAGCCAGGTATCGCCCCCGGCACCCATGGGGTAAGAAGCTCACTGAGAAAACCAGAATCTAGAGAGGCTCCACGGCCACAGCAAGGGACACGTTCAAGGCAGACCCAGGGGCGTGATTCAGTCGTGTTAAAAGAGTATAAAAACATACCGCAAGGGCAATTTTTAAAAGCGATTGATTGAAGGTGCGACCACATGTCATTTAACAGTTTTTCCCGCATAGACTTTCCCCCTCCGAACGTCAGGGAAAAGTAAAAGCATCTGTCAGCGCAGGTATGGCCGGGGTAGCAGGGTCAGGGGGCCCGGACGGAGGTCGGGGGCCCGCCCGCGTCTCCACGCAGCTCTGTGCGCTCCTGGGGCCGAGGCACCAGGCGACCGGCGCGGGGCCAGCGCCGTCTCCACAACAAGTGCGCGGCAGCCGGGCAGGCCCCCGCCCTCCCCGGGGGCAGCGGCCCCACGTGCTCCCTCACCTGACCGCCACCGGGGCGGGCGTGCGGAACCCCCGCCCCCCTCCTCCGCGCCGAGACCCCGCGGGGTGGGCCCCACCCCTCGTTTCGTTGCCCTGGGTCCCCGGCAGCCGCCCCGGGGAAGGCGCTCGGCGGGCC